GGCTCGCATGCACAGAGGATTCTATAGAAAGTTTAGAATTAATCCTAGGCACTCGATAAAAATAATCGTGGCTTAGTTCGCTCTAAGGAAGAAGAGACAGAGTGGAACTTGAAGAGAGAGAAAGAGGGGCAACCATGAATTACGCGTTTTCTTGATATCTTGGTTTGAGCCGTGGCCTGCGAAGAGGCCGGAGCAACCGGTGAGCCGTCTGTCGGTCCCTCTGAAGGGCCGCGCGAGCGGCCCTTCGGGGCACTTTGCACAACCGAGGCTCATCGGCTACAGCAGACCTCCCACGGGCCGACCGGCTCTTCACCATCGGGAATCTGCCTGCTCCTTCCCCCTCGTCCTTCTCCTCCTAGCCATCCTCTTCTTCTTCTTCTTCTTCGTTCGACGTCGTCGTCGTCTTCTTGTCTATCTCTGTGTATGTTCCTGTTCTCTCTCCTTCTTCGTTTTCTTTCGACTTGTCTCTCGATTCGTCGAACTTACTTCTCTCGTGCTTACTTCCATCGACGACGATTCCACGCTTTCGCTGGCGGTGAACCGAGAGAGATCCACCGGACGTTGCGAAAGTGCAGCAGAGCAATTGAACTCTTGCAGACGAAGGTACACGTAACATTCGGGGAGATATTAGAAATAAGATGAAGGAAAATGTGTAGAGCGAGGAATAGCAAAATGAAAGGATAAATAGAGTCTCTGTATCTTCTTTTCCTAGATGTACTAGATATTTTGAACCCTGCATCCTATCTCCTTTTCTCATTCATTTATTCCTAAATATAAAGTTGATTTTTTCCCTCGAGATGCAAGTTTGCGATTTCTTCGAATTTTGAAATATCTTTATAAAAATGTTGCAACTATCTAAATGAAGTTCTATGAATCTGTGCAAATCGTTATTTAATAACTGAATTCAGTAACCTAAAGTGATATGTGCCCTTCGAAATGCTTTCCAGGGAAATACTGAGTAATTCCGCATTTCTCGCCGACAAATTCTACCTCTACGTTCTCGAAGTTAAGCACACCGAGGCGGTTCTATCATTACATCCCGGACGCCATACGTCGTTGCCAAGTTACTATTGTAATTAGCTCATGCCGGCCTCGGTTACGGTGGATCGTGCTGATTTGTGAGGGACTACTACGACTAGTTCGAAGCCTATTATTGCGAGATCGGGGCAGTGCTTACTCAGGTGTGCGACTGTTACGAACCACGGCTGTGCCTCCCCTTTCCCTTCGCCAATGTAGTCTATCGCGCGCTCATATTTCTATTCTCATGACCGAGCAACCTGCGCAGCCGGCCTTGACTCGTAACTCGCTCTCTTCTGGCGTCTGTAAAAAGTCTCCCGAGAGTCCGGCCCTCTTTTACTAACAACCGTGACGAGCTTAATGCCGCTCGCCGCGAGTTTATCGAGACGGGATCCCGAGTTCTGCAACACGCTCGGAAACACGCTCTCCGATCTAGGATCGTTCTGCATTATGTGATTGCGACGAAATCGCTAATTAATTCTTGACAATCAGTTGAAAAATAAAATTGACATATTTATCAAAAATTATTTAAAAATGACAAAAAATTCTGCGCGCAGCATGCATATCAAAAGGTTTAGAGAATCATTCAGATGTCCTTCGCCCCAAGAGATGTCCGGAATATTTTTTTTTAAGCGTTTTTTGGACATGTATGCTATGTGAAATAGCGTTTATATCAGATAACAATTTTTTTTCGACAGAAACTGCGTTCTCCAAAATTTTATTTTATTTGTTTCGCGCCGAATGAAAATATCACGTATATTCATGATACTAATATTCGATTGAAAAAAACGCGAGCCGATCAGAAAGTAAGATTTCGTAAGTTGAAACGAGAGAATGGTAAATTGTAAAGTACAAGTTTTTACAATCTCTTGCAAATTATTACAAGTTGCTATCGTCATGCAGTAAAATTTATTTCCTAGAAAATAAGAATCAATTATTTGATCTCTAGTTTCACCTCTCTATTATATAATTGCGACCAAATCACTGATTCATTCTTGATAATCGGTTAACATGCAAAACATATTTATGACATATTTATCAATAATTTAAAAACGACAAACAAATCTCATATAACATTCAAAAGACATGTAGAGGACATTTTAAAAATTTCCTTCATCCTAAAGATACATTTTTGAAATATCTCATGGATATGCATGCTGTGTAATAATTTTTTCGACAGAAAAAAAAAGTAACTTTTGCAAAATAATAATTTTATGAGAGGAGCCCGAATGAGCTGGAACAGAAAGCTTTGGTTTCAGCCCTCGATTATTCGCGCTCGCGATGAGATTGCAGAACATCACGATGGAAGGTCGATCCTCCGCTCGTCCGCTCGGAAGGTTGTACCCGCCGTGTAGTTATGTGCATCGGCTTCCGAGGTTACAGACGGTTAGTAAGAAATACTCCACGGACGATTGTATCGAATCGGACTGTGCGGCTCGGCTCAAGTACAGGCGGGTCTTTCTCCCGCTCGCGGGCCGTACGTACTCGCATCACTCTGTTTATACACTGTGGCATAAATGCGCCCGGAGCAGTCGTGCGATATTACTACCTTGCTACGTAATGAACCGTTAGCTTAACTCTTAATGCCGAAGTATTCCAGAAGCCATTTGGAGCGTGCACACCGAAGGATTGATAACGTAAAATATATATGTAAAATAAAAAATAAAAAAACTTAATTTAATAAAAAATAAAAGATAAAAAACTAAAAATTGTAGATATATATATATATATATATATATATATATATATAAATCAAAATTTTTTATAGCTAAAAAGATCCATCGTCAAATTTATTCATTCTCATATAAATAAATCCAAACTTAAAAATTTCTAAAATTATTCTACATTTGAATTTTTAATTAATTTTTCGAAATTTATCTATCACAGTAAATTAATCTAGAAAAATTTTAATAAATTGTGTTGCAGAATTGTGTTGTAATATTGTGCTTAATTTTTTTTTACTTCTCTATTAACATGTATTATTAAGGAAAGATTATAAAATTTGAAAATTCGTAAGAGTTATTATTTTAGTTGGCTCTGTAATATTAAAAGCTTCACAAGATAGATCGCAATTCTGTGGAATAGATTTTCTATTCATAACATTGGAGCGCAAATCGAGCATGCGAATGGAGCATTATTAGATGCAGCGAATTCGCGGGAGGAATTCTAAAGGGACGGAATTCTAAAGGGGTGTACGAACCCTTCGCGTGTCGGATTGATGATGATTAACCCCTCGCGGTAGTGTGCGAAACAAATCGCGAACAACGGGAGAAAACACAAGGAGCACGCGATAATGGAAGCATTTTATAACGGCGAGAAAAATGTGCATTATGTATTGTCAAAACACCGCACGAATTGCCGAGCGAGTAGAACTGGCTAAAAAAAAGTCAGCAATTAAGGATCCCCCTGTATAACGAAACTAATTGTCGGTATAAGCATAAAGGTGTTTACGGGATTTCATTGTTCTACGTGATCGACAATCACGTCGGCGATAAAAACGCAAGTCAGACGTTATGATTCATCCATCATCCAATTCATATATTTCAGGTGTGTACATGTATGTATATGTGTGTGTATCATGAATTTGGACGATCTTGCACGGCCCTGTACAAATAAAAAAAAAAATTTTGATAAAAGTATCAAAATCTCGATTATCTAAAATACAAAGTATTATAGAAAAAATTTTAATTAAAGAGGGTCAGGAAATTAATAATTATTTATATATATTATATTATTATCTAATAATTAATATTATATAATATTATATAATTATTATCTAATAATATATATAATAATATTTTATTAAATATTATTATACATGTTATAATAATTAATAATTAATAACAAATAAATATGACAAAATTTCGCGTTAATTATTAAAAATTATTTTAAGCACTCTCGTTCCAAAGGGACTAACAAAACAAATTTTTCGAGATTTTTTTATCGATTATAACTTACTTTATTTCTCAAATAAATTGTTTCTTATAATTTATGTGTATCACGAGATCACTGTCCCTGGATGCGTAATTGAAAACATTAGGAAGAGCCTCATTGTCAGAAATTAAGTACCCGGTATCGTCACGGAAGAAACCGTTTCTGAAAACAACCGGAAACGTCGAATCAAGCGTGCCCCTCGAAGCGCGGGTGGCATGAGTTAACTTTTTTTTACTGAATCCATGCCTGCATGCGATGCGGTGCAAGAAACCGTGAATGGAACATGTTTACAGTTAAGATATGTCAGCGGCGTGATATCACCCGCCACACATGACCGGCAAAAAGTATATTACGGAGCTAAAATGCCGCATTATGGAATGGAACGCGAGAGAGAATAAAAAAAAGACTGCTCGTCTCGTGAACGCCTCTTAAATTTGATATGAGGCGCGCGAGACATTCTTTTTCCTGCTCGTTACTGGACCTTTTTTTTAATTTATCACAATAAATCTCTCTTCCTTCTCTTTTTTAGAAAATACTGTACACGCTTGCAAGTATTTAATACACCTGAATATAAATCATTGTCTTCAAAAAAATATAAGGAATATAAAATATAAAATTATTTTATTAATACACTTTTTATATTAATTATTTTATTATTATATTTTATATTCAATATAAGAAATTTTGTTTTAATTTATATATAAGTATCTTATCAAAATTTTGACACAGGCATGTATTCGTGCAATATTTGAGAATGTAAAATTAAGGACAATTATTCCCAACTATAATTTTAATATTTATAATATCCCATATATTGCCATAAATTATAGCTATGTATTAAAAAGTGATCTGAGAAATAAGGATAATTTATCAAACATATGGAGAGACAAAATAGTCTCAAAAAAAAAAAGATTGATACTCTTATTACACGATGTCTTGAAGATAAGGTGGAAATTACATAAACACGTGACTAACGATCTATGAAATCGATATTCTAGTTCTTTGGCGACAGGGCGGTAGTTAAACTCTTCGTATTCTTTGTGTTACAGCGGAATCTGATATCTGCACTTTCGCGGCGAGGACGGAACATTTTCACGTCACGAATAAACCATCGATGGGACTGTTCACGTCGGACACGAGACCGAAAGCCCTGAGGGAGCTGTACGAGCTCGCTGCTATAGTCGCCGTCCGAAGTTTGGATTCCTTGAGGAGGGATGGCAGCTCGATGGATATGTTCCTCTGCACACCCGTCCTTGGTAAGAGGCGGCGAGATCAGAGCCTCGACATCGAAGCCAGAGTCGTAAGTACATTCCTATCTCTATCTTTCTATAAAAACGTGGCACATTCCATCAGTTAATCATTTTGCTTAACTGCGATGAATTCTTCATTTTGCTTAACTTGCGATGAAACTTCAGCTAATAGATTAATATCATTTTTTCCTTTTAATTCTAGTGTCATTTAATATAAAAAGTAATTGTTTTTATTATTGGGAAAATATAAAGATTCTAAATAGTTGGTCAATTATAATCATACGTGTAAATCTTAGGAATCTTTTATTTTCTCATCCTGATATATTTTAAATTAAATTATACAATTCTCATGCATAAGCGAATGAAAATACATATGTATCTTTAAGATACAAAATATAAAAAAGATATAAAATATACAAATTTCATTGAGAAGGTATAATGTTACTAGAACCTTGTAACAATTTTGCCACATGTTGTTATCTAATCACTTGCCACTTGTGTGCAGTGAAAATAAGTGGAAAAAGCGTACACAGGCAATGCATTCATATGTAATTTTCCTTTCTTAATGAATTATGTAACGATTCATCATCGCGATTACTGTTCCCGTTGACTACGCGAAGTGAATATCGAGTAAAAGGCATTTCAATTGGTATCGAGTGATTGAACGCAAAGAGATCAGTCGGACTTAATAATACCCCACTTGAGACATTAATTCTGAAATGCCAGGCAAGATCAAATCTGACCCCTTTGCCTACTTAATTTAACGTAATTAACTTTCACCGTATAATTGAAGAGTTTTTACGGTCGAATTGCATTTCTTTGAAACAATTTCAGTAATTTCCCCGAGAAATGCTTCCTCTTCCCTTCTTTATTTAAATCGTGTTGCGATTACTTTTTTTCCCCTGAACTTGAATTGACATTAAACCGGTTCACGTCAAACGGAGATTGTCATTTACGATATAATTATGATGTGACAATAATGCTGTACTTAATAAGCAGAAAAGAATGTAAGATAAAATTTATTTCTTTAAAGATTCAAAGAAAAAGGATACCTTTCAAGAGGTTAATTGATTGCATAAATTCATTTACAATTCAAATACAAATTTGTGCATAAAATAAGTCTTTTCAATCTTTATTGAAACAGCCATTATCTTAAATAATGCAAACTGTATATTTAAGTAGCTTTTTTGATTAATTTATTAATTCACATTTTAATTAAATATATTTGACATCTTTGATTTGATTTCCTCTATTCTGCAACTTTCAGTTAAAGTAAAATAAATAGCTTTTCTGTGTCATTCTTTTTGCACTTCCCTTTACCTCTCGGAGATGCGCGAAATTAAGACTCTCACAATAGCGGTCGTTTTCACGGACCGGTCGCGAACAAGGGCCTCTGCGCATCGGGCGGAAAAGTTAGCAGACGGTTGGAACCCGATCCGTTCCGTATTCCGCGCGTGAAACTCTCCCGGCCGACGAGGTGACATCACGACAATGGTTAACACCCACGCGCATAAAACATGTCGCTTGCTCTTCTTCCCCCGAGGCGGCGTCGAGTTTCCCGCGAGGTGAATCGCGGGAGGCGACCCCCTCTTGTTATACGTGAAGGAAGAAAGGAAAGAATCATTTGTCGCACACTTACGGCGCCGGGTCATGTGACAACATCAAGCAAGCACGTAAAAGTCGACAATTTTTTTACATGTTAAACATAAAAAAATAAAATATCACTTGTTAAACTTAACTATTAATTTTTTATAATTTTTTTTTATTAAACTTATAACTGTTATAACTATTTTTAAATGGACTCAGTTTTGAAGTAATAAATAAAATGAGTTTGCATTTATATTAAAAGTTTTTCGTAGAAAATAAATAATTCGTGAGAAAAAAAAAATTGAACAAAGCATCTTCTTTGTTAGTTACTGATTTTTTATGAGAGATTATATCTTATAGATATACCGTTAAAAATATATATATTTTATGAATTATTTTATTTATATACATAAGTCTCTAACGAATTTATAAATGTATTTTCTGCATTCTTTTTTCTCAAAGAGATACGTACGGTATATACGGATAATTATGATAGGGAATGACGTAACAAACCGTGCAAAAGACGTACCTGAGAGAAACATACCTGGAGAGAGAGGGCGGTGACTTTATTGCGCGTGTTATTACGCTGTTGCAGCCGGCTGCTATCGAGGATCTGCGAAGATGGACATCCGCCGAAGCGCTCGGCGACGTTACCGTACCGCCAGATTGCTCGTCCAGGATCCTAGGCGACACGACCAGCGACGATGCCGTCGATCACAAGCTACCCAGCCCCGAGGAACAGGTTCAGGCTATCGCGCTCAAGTAAGCGGTTTATCTCAGTACATTGTTCGATCACCGATAGAAGGGAAATGTAGAAACTACTCCTGCTGAAAATAGAGAAAATCAAAAATATCAATGATTAATACTTTAAAAGGATCAATGATTAATAATTTAAAAGGATACTTATAAAAGTGCGCCTAGCATTTACATTATACATTGCTGTCATCTTTGCATTAAGTTTTTATTGATTTTTTTTATTATACATATAATTTAAAGAGAGAGAATTATATATGCATTACAAATTATCAAAATTTAATACAACGTTATGTGGTATAAAATAAAGAAATTATTGTCGAATTCCAAAAAGTCTCACATTGATTCAATTTTAAAGAAAAATTGATAAAAGTTGGAAGATTGCTAGAAAAGATTGGAGAATAAAAAATTGACTCTTTTTTCGAATTATTTACAAAAAAATCGACAAACCTCGAGTCAAAATCTTATATATAGAAGGAAAGAGAGTTTATATACAAGTATATAATAGATTTGCCAAGAGTCTATTTCATTATTCTTTTACATAGCTTGATATGTTCTTTCCCCGACCTATTTGGTTTTCTATCAATGGCAGACTTATGAGCTTCCCTTATTGTGATCCCGAAATGTACCCTTTCATTGTAGATTCCCGGCGGAAATCGTAGCGGTGGATGTGAGCGGACGTGGTTTCGCAAGAATGTCGATGAGGAGGAAGTCCTTGCTGTCAGGACCAGAGACACAAGAAACGGCGGTGAAAAGGAGATCGCGGCCACGCAGACCAAGAGGCAAGAGACGAAACACGATTGCTGGTACCGATCAGAAAGAGATTCGACAAGCTATTGGAGGGTTAGTATTTATCATATTTGACCATGCACGACTCTTAATCGAAATATTTTTGAAAGTTTTTTTCTATGTATATTTAAAATCTCTAATTATTAAGTCCTCTACTTGTGTATCCAGTAGTTTCAATGCAATATAAATACGCTCTCCAAAAAAAATCGATCCAATATATTTCACCACTACAAAAACTTTCTTAATTAAATTAAATTATAAAATATAAAACTTTCTTAATTAAATTAAATTATAAAATATATTATATCATATATATTTCGCAGACAATTATTTTTAGAATGTTCGACACACATCTTCGCTTAATAAAGATAATTTTTTACCATCGTCAAAAAAAATATTGAAAAGAAACGCTATTATTGAAGAGATTAATAGATCGTCCACCGGATGTTTCATCCTCTCAACTTTTACGACGTAATAAATATAATATACTCGTATAAGAGAGAGGAGTATATATTTTGCTCGGATCCGTCTTATCGCTTAGCAATTTTGTTACTCGTAGAGATGTGTGGACGCGGTCCCGAGGATCTATACGTCGAAAAGAGTCGGCGATTTGTCACGCTCGATAAAGCACACTCATAATTTCGCAGTCGTCCAAGCACGAAGAATCTCCCGTAACTCTACCTTTGTACTTCTATTGCCGCGATAATACTCGCGGATCATCTTCATATCGTTGTCGCATGATATCGCGTACGTAATCTCCCGAGACCTCCCACGAGTCCTAGTAACTAGGCTCGCATGTCAAATGGAAACACCACGCGGATGATAAATCTGTCGTAAAACTGCACATCGCGCGATTTGGCCAATTAATCATGACACGTCCTCTCTCGTTCCTCAAAACGCCATGCAAATCGCGCTCGCTGCAGCATCTACATCATGTTCGCATCGTTGAGATTATTTATCGATGGCAGGGAGACGACTGGCGACGAGCCCGAGGAGACGGTGCCAAGCGCCACGCCGAGAGCCCATCGCTCAGCGAGCACCGACATCCTGGGTTCCACGAAGAAAGATTCGCCTACGGAAAAGAAGTCGCACTTTAACACGCTGAAAGCTTGGGGTATGTCCAGATTGAAACTGATCAGTCCCAAGTCGAATCAGCAACAGCAAGAGACGACGACGATCAACGCGGAGAGATGCGAGCAAGCTCAAGGTCAAACAAGATCGCCGGAGGAGATCAACATCTACGAGACGGTAACCACGAGACGCAGGAGAGATAAATCGCACGAGAGGAAGCCCAGTTCGTCCAGCTCGAGTGGCAAGAGCACGGCGAGCATACCGGTGTCGGTACCGAGCACAGACAACAAACAGCCGAGCGTGAAATTACGCGAGAGCGCCGCTCAGAGAAGAGAGAGACGGAAGGGCAGCAACCGCGACGACGCGCCGCACTCGAGCTCCGGAAACTGGAGCGCCTCGTCCGAGAGCGGAAGGGCCAGTATAGGTAGCGAGACTACAACCACTACGCATCAGCCCAGGTAATGGAAGGATCTAAGCGAAAGTTACGTCTTGACGATTGTCGAGATTAAGCTCTGTTTGAATTTAGATAGAATGAGATTCTTATAATTATACGAGGTTTTATTAAATTTCAATTATGTTCATTTTAATATCGATTACTTTGAAATTTGTTGGATGAACATCTCTGTTTAATTTCGAATATATTATTTCAGATCCACGACGACAGCTTCGATTGGCACGTCCTCCACTTCCTTAAGTCACATGAGGCGACTCAAGGGAAGAGACACCTCGGCCTCATCCTCGGTAACTTCCGAAGGTACCTTAACCCCGGATATCATACAGGATATCACGGTGGTGCCCTTCTCCGACGACGGCGAGACGTCGTCGGTATATTCCTGCGACACGGAGGGATATTATACTTCGTTCCACATGGATTCAGGTCTTAAAACGCTTAGGGAAGAGGAACCGGTGCCGCAGAGTCCTTTAATCAAGTCTAATGACATCAGTTCAGACCCTACTTCGCCAGTTGTTGAGAACGAATACGAACTTTTTGGCAGAGGATCAACTTCTACAACGACTAGTTCAGCCGGGACGGTTTGCACCGCACTTATGGCGCCACCACCTCCGGAGCGTAAATCCAGCCTCACAGTTGTTGCTATGGTAAATTCAAATTTCAATATCCTAGCTTATATCTCTGACAGAAAAATAAATTCAGCAAATCAAACACCTTCGCAACTGATAAGAAAAATTATATTAAAATGAGATAGATTTAAATAACTAAATATTAAATAGCAAAATAATATAAATTATATTAATTTTATTAATAGGTTCACGGTCAAAATCAAAACGGCGGCGAATCGCCCGATAGCGGTCACAATACGTCTTCGTCTCCCGTCGAATCCGCCTCGAGTCCTGCTTGCACCGGTCGATCATGCTCCGAGTTCGAATACTCAGAATCCAGCGATTTGGAGGGTTGCGAGCGAATCGAAAGGATCCGCTCGAAGACGGCGATCACGACCAGTCGAATTCCCTCAATGTGCGTAATCACACCACCAGTGTCCGACGACGAGCATGCGAGAGAGACAGACCAGTGCGAGAAGAAGACGAACGAATCGACGAGGAGAGGGGGCCTTCAAAGCGGCGGATCGGTGCTGATGTCTGCTACCGTTGGCACTTCCAAGATGGAAGTGATCAACGGTCAGGACAAGAATCTGTACGCCACCGTACAGGTATTGCCAGCAATCGTCAACAATGACAGACCGATGGCGACGACGAGCCAATCGTCGTCGTCGTCTTCGAAGATCAGTCCGCTGAGCGGTGTCCTGGGCAAGCTTCGCGGCGTACTTCCGGGCAAGAAGCACGCCACGAAGAACGGTGCCGTGCAGGAGCTGTCAAACGCAGACTCCGGCGACTATGTGACCATAGCCGACGTGAGGAACAACAACGACAAGCGCCCCGCGGGTCTGCCCTCGTCTTCGTCATCGTTATCGTCATCGTCGTCATCAGGCATGACTACCGTTCGACCTACCGTTACCTATGCCAATTCCGATATCTTCAAAAAAGACGCTGAGTACGTGAGTCTGAGCGAATTGCCGAAGAAACCGGATTCGTCATTGGAAAGGAAAAGACAGGGCGCCCGAGTTACTTTGGATTCCGAAGGCAAGGTCGTCTATTCATCCGATAGTTTAAAAAGAAGAAAGGGAGCACATACGACGTTTAATCCAGGTATTAGATTTTAAGCATTCAACGTTGTTTCAATTAATTGTTTCAATTAATACGACTTATCACGATAAAAATCTTTCTTTGATCAAAGATTATAGCTTGGGTTGACATATTTTTCAAAATATTAATAGTATTTCTTTACGTTTTTACACTTTAATGTTACTTTTCAGGTCCTTTTGTGAGAGAAGGAGTATCACCGAGCCCATCACCGTTGCTTCATCGCGCGATGCCGAACGTCCGCGCCATCACGAAGACCGGCGACGTCGTGGACGGTTCGAACGTTCGGACATCCACGCCGCCGACGTCGCCTCAGCTGGGTAAGCTGATCATTCGAGCAGCGCGGAGTCCGGATCGCGCGGCCAGTCCGGATTACGTGCGCACACCGGCAACCGTGGTCGGTCCCACGAACCCGAGCAGTCCCCACAGACAGTTCCGTGGGGCTTACGTCAACGTGCAAGGCGACGAAGGTAAGACGTCCAGCACTGACGAGCACCGCGATTGCACTGGCCGCACCGATAGATTAGAAGCACCACGCACTGCGATCATTCCTGCATTACGCACTAACGACGAGTGCACTAGGCGACCGCCTGGCAGTCCAACCCTCGCTCTTGCGTCGAGCAACAAACTCCTGGAAGCTGATGAATCTGTAGACGAAGTTAGAATCTGTCACAATTTACAAGTAGATAGGCAAACGAAGCGCAAATCCGATCACGACGAGAACTATTCGTCGGCACAAAATGGCGATGAAACGAGTGTTTGCACGATCGCTCCGTCCAAGGTCAATCACTCTGTCGTCTTCAATTCTGCGAATTCGCGATTGGACTTTGAGAAATCGGGTTCAAAGAAAGTAACTGGCAACACGCCCAAGTTCAGTAGGAAATTATTGGTCTCGAATCTTGATACTCCGAGCTTCTGTAGAAAGAGGTCGGATTATGATAGTCAAAATATAGTCGAAGAAAATGCAATAAATGATATCGAGACTAGCGATAAAAACACGACGATCGATTCCGCGGAATTAGATAATCCGAAAAAGAAGTCCGATTCGACGCGATCAGGCGATAGGATGGATCGTAAGGTGAAGCGTAGCGAAAGCTACCGGATGGCGAACAGTCCAATCATGTTCATCAAAAAGTTCTCTGCGAACAGTCAAGCGGAAAAGTCCAAGATCTGCAGGACGCCCTCTGAAGAGCTCCAGGAAGAGCTGTTGAGAGAGAGGATCAACTATCCCGAAACGGTCTCTAGTCCGGAGCCACAGATCAATAGCAACATGACCTTCGATGCAAAACTAACAACTACTTCTAAACCTATTCAATCGATACCGACTAGTCCTAGACCGAGGGCTTCGGACTTAGAACCGGCTAGAGTGCTCAAGTACTCTGGTAATGATACGGAAATCTGGTAGAAAGCGTCATGATAACGCGTTATCGATTCGGCAATGCTATTTTTGCAATACCGATATGAAGCTAGAATAAATGAAATTAACTTTCCCATTTTTTTTCTCGTCAAAGTTAACGAACTCAAAGATTTCAGATTGCAAAACTTAAACTCAGATAAGTTTCGAAACGGTTAAAGTGTCTTAATGCTCTATTAACAATGTATCTAATGAAGAACGTTATGATAGTATGTAAAGCGCCAGTCTTGTAATGCGAATAATACGAAACGGACATATGAGATGATAAGCGTGATTGCTGCAAGTTCTAACATTAAGTCAAGTCACATTTAGAGAAACAAATGGAGCGAATGGCGGGTTTAATCGGAAATAATCATTAGATGCTCTTGGAGAGAAATACGAAACGTCATATAGCTTTATTATAACTTGACGTCATTTAGTACACATGTACTAGAATACTTTCTGGAATTCATTTTTCGATCAGAATAAGAGTTAGCAATTAATTAGTTGAATTAATTAAATATATATTAAATACTATCTTAAAAAATTAATTTAAATTTCTTTTTTATATATTTATCTTCGATGCAAATGAAAGTCTATGCATAAAATATAGTAAGATATAAATTGTTCTTATAATAAACAATCTAATATTCGGAGATTTAATATGTTTATTTCCAGAAAATTTTTTTGGATATTTTAAATATCTTAATTTAACTTTCTTTTATATTTGTGAATATATCTCGACGTTTTCAAATGGAGATAACCTTGGGAAAAAATGTAATCGTAAAAATGGAATGGCTCGTTGGGATTATATAGTGTTACACAGCAAGTTTTTGTGACACAGCAAGTATCTCTTTTAAAAATCAGCATTTTTATTATCAGAGGTCCATGTTGATGCGATAATAACTTCTACGAGTCGGCTTATTGATATTCCATGGTTAAATAACATAACAGTTAGATCATCGCGTAAAATAGATCGGAGGATGAGAAAGAATGATCACAAGGTTTAATCAGATATAATTGGAGCGAAAAGTCGCGGGGGAGATATCAACATGCGACGTATTATGCAGAAGACGCAATCGGACAGATCAGGGCTCAGTATGTCAAATATCAGACGAGGAGCAAGGACCCACAAGACGGAACCGTTTGGCGACAATCACGATAGCAAGATTGGCCATTTCTTTTCGCACGTAAACAAAATATGGACAGGGAAATGCGCATTACCGGTCACGTTTTCCCTTATCTTTAATACTCCGATGTCCAGTCTTTCCGACCGCGAGTTAATGAGACAATCCCCAGGGTGCATTTAATATATTATGAGAGATAAATGTTGAGTTCTTTGCTGTCAATCTTTGCGTGGAATATTTTAGAGTTAATAGTTTCATCGAACTCTCACCAAAGAATATACTTGACAAGATCAAACAATATTCTGATGATCAATTTTTGCAATGTTTTGCTAAAATTCAAATACTTACTAAAAATTCATATTTAAACTTTTCGTCAACTAAAACTATTTTCAGTAACTATTTTTTGTGTAAATATGAAGAAGTTATGAAATTTTATTAGTATAAAATATTTATAAAATATCTTATTTAATTTTAGATTGATCACGCTAAATAGATTATTTTGTTTAAAATAATGCAATAATATATTATTTATTTAAATCAAGCTATATTGCGGCTTAAAATTATGTGTATGTTGCATTAGAGATCCGATTAAATTGAAATGCCGATTTTATATACATTAATTTCATTCAAATTAAATCATGAAAAATTTGAAATTTTTGTTTTGACGACACAGGAGGGAGAACAGAAAATTATCGGGGGGGGCGATAAATTATTAATGGGGGTGGCGAGTGGGAAATCTTCAACGAGCCGCTGGAAAACTTCCAGGAAGCTCGCGGAATAAAGACTTTACTTTGTTAGCCCTTATCAGCATCAATAACTGCTGGCTCAATAAGCAACGCGAGTTGCATCAGACGTGATATTTATCCCGACATGATAATAGCCGGGGTGCCGATAAACAAAAATCCCCACTACGAGGATTGAAATACTTTCGTGCGCATTCCGGCGCCTTCAGTGCGCTCCGATCCAGTCGATCGAGTCGAGAAACAGTTCGTCCTTTGCGACCTCCTCTTCTTAGATCTATTCGGAAATTGACTTCAAGTTCTATCGAACCGACAAAACGCGGTGCCAAAAAATTGGCTTCAACAAATAATCACCATCGCATTTAATTACAATACACGTCTTATAATATCATCTTTATGTTTTCATCACATCTTTTCGATCATATCTCTCTCTCAAAAATAATTGAGATCCGCGGATCGGGAAAAATCCTTCCTAAAATGATCAGAAGATTCTCTGCCGCGTGTCAGCTACGATCGGATGACTCGCCGCGGAACGAAATCGAATTTTTAGCGCGATGATAAGACGTTATCGGTGTAAAAAGCGGGGAGGAAACCTTGTCGCTAGACAGACAGTCGCCAGCGCTGATAGACGGAGCAGCGCGGTTGTAAATCGATTCTCGATTCCCAACTCGTTCAGTCGCAACGATACTTCAACATGCTGGCCAGACATCTTCTCTTCATCGCGACCAGGCGGCCTCGTAAGTGCCATGAGAGAATGTGTGTGTATGTGTGTTAACAAGTGGAAGTGCTGCATATTGTGATAAGAAATTAATTCGATCATCAAATTCATTGTTGCCCCGCAATTTACGATATTTTTGTACCTACTACAAATTGCAAAGTAAACTTTAAATTATTTATACGATTCTTTTATCAGTTATGGCTTGTATATTTTGAATACCTGTTTTCAAATTTGAATATGGTTAAAAGTACAATTTACTATCTTATAGATTGTATTTTAATAAGTGGATTTGAATAGTGTTGAAAAACATACATACATTTGGATTATTAATAGACTTAATTATTAATAATATTTAGAAATTTATTTCTGAATTATAGACTTTAAATATATTATATTTATTATACATTTTTGAAACTTCATTTATTAATAGAAATAATAAATTATTAGAAATAATAAAGCATAATTGCCATAAAGAAAAATTGAATTTATCAATATATATATAACATTGTGTTCAAATCATCTTAACATGATTTTCATCTTATATTCTTATCATTCTTATCGTTGCTTATCAACTCAATCATCTTTTGACAAGTTCCAATTTGATAACTCGTCATTTCTCTTGACGTCAACTTCAATTAATTGCTCTTGATTGAAGGGAAGAAAACCGTATTATATATACTATGTATTTGTGTGTATATATGTTTGGCTTTATTTGTTTATTTTGCGTCGAGCTTTAAAGAGAGAACTATAATATTTTGTATCAACGATATACTTGTGTGCGAAAAAAAATTTTATTTATATCCTTTACGTAAATTGACCGTTTTATCTTATCATCTGACTTCAAGAGGTATATTTATCGATATTACTCTGATTTTACATCATATGATAGATTAAATCTGATATCTGATTGAAAAATTTTCCATATTGGCAGCATTTTTTATACGAGAAATTGAAGTTTTTTTTTTTATTTTGATAATATTATAAAAATTAATTTTTAGATTGTTTTTCTTCATGCATACATTGACAAATAGAGTTTGTTGTATTACTCTTATTTTACATTTTTACATGCGTAAAAAAATAAGAATATATTCTTAAAAACAAGAATATATTCTTATTTTTTTTACACACATGTAAAAATGTAAAATAAGAGCAAGTTCGTTGCAACGAAAATTATAACATTTATTTTCTCTTTCTTTGCGCTATTGATATACAATCTATGACCTTTATCCAGCATTTCACGAAATTAAATGATTAAGGCGCTACTTTGTCTGTTAAGTCCGTGATTTTATCAGTGGCATCGTCGAGAGCATTAAATGGTTGGGATCGCACGAGTGACCGCGTGTCGTTATCGGTATTGCAAAAGTGCACGATAATAAAAATGTGTTATGAAAAATAGAGGGAGAGATAGAGGAAGAGAGATGAAGAAATAATGGAAAGTGCCGTTGTGATCGAATGACATGCAAAAATTCAAGAAATAAATGAGAGAAGGAGAGCGAAAGGTCGATTTTCCCCACATTGGCATTTCGCCTCCCTTATCCTATCGTGACAGCTCCAGATTGACGTATGAACGTATACCAATGCTACTTATCTCGAAAGCAAACTTTTACCAGCGCATGTAACGTGCATCGGCCCGATCTCCCGCAAAGTGTGTATACATAATAAAGTTAACGTCACGATTGACAACACGAGAAAATATGTGGAGTGAAATAAACAGTACCACAAAATAATTATGATACCGGATTATCTATACAGTTGCAGGGGAAGACCTTGGAGGGAGCGATACCGTTACGTAAAATCGAAATTAACGATAGTTAATTGCAGATAATAATTCATCGAGTTTTTCAAAATAATGATATTAAAAAAGAGAGGCTGCAGACAGTACACAAATAAATTTGATTCCAGATAATCTTTATCTTTGCGCGATTATTTTCAGATGTAGAAGGTGCAAGTTTGCGAGTAAGAGAAAAATATCAAATCCGTCCAATTTATAAATGTACAACAGAGAAATCGCGCCGATAAATATAAATCGTTGCGAAATCGGCTGTACGCGATACCGTCTGTAATTGCGGTTCTCTTCGAAGAACAAACGTATTGTATAATAAGACACATGCAAAGTATTAATTTTGGATATAATTTATGTTAGTTGTTTACGTTCTAATCTATTCTTTTTGTATAATCGTACGTATGGCCAGTGACAAAAGGACATAAATAATTTATGTTGATTTTTTGGGTTTTCTACAGAACAAAGCGCTAAGTCATTTTAAAAATGCATAGCATATTTTTAGACAATTAAAAAAAAACATGATCAATCTGCGTTATATATTTATAATAATTACATTTGTTAATAGCATACATATATATCCATGAAGAATTATACCAAATTATGTTTGCTACCTGTATTTTATTGTTATTGTTACAATACATTTTATATGTGTAAGAGAGAATACTTTGTCGCATCGCTAGATTTGATCACATGATTTCGATAAATTGGCGAGTTATTTTATTGTGATTAATAATTTCGTAATTATTTCTTGCGATGCAGTACAAAATATCATAAATCCGTAAAAAAACAGAAGAGGATTAGTCAGAGCCTAAATAAAATCATTATCTATTTACGATAAATGTGTAATGTGTTGCACTTTATCTGTGAGCGATGAGTCAAGGGCAATGAAAATATTGGTTCCAATAATTTATAAACGAAGATGATTTCTTTCTCATTGATCATCGTAAGAGAGAAAAAAAACATAAAAAAGTTTTCGATGCGCACGCATTTAAAAGTAATTGCGTCATCGCGATCTCCTCAATATTTCATTCGCGATTGATCGATAAACACATTATACGAAGTTGAATTATTGATGTACCTATACGATGCCATTATTGTATCTAAGTTACCTCATCTTAATATTTCGTGTCGATCACTTTATCGATTATTTTCGTCCATTACTTTCGTCCATTACTTTAATCGGAAATTTTCGTAAAATCCAAAAATTCGTTTATTAAAAAATTATGTCTTTAGATATATATATATATATATATATATATATATATATATATATATATATATATTACATTTGCCATATTGTTATAAGCTATAGTTATTATTATGTTTTATTTCGACTCGAATTGTGTAAATAATGAGTTATGATGATTTTTAATGATTAGACATGAACATGATGAAACATTATACGACTGCGCCTCGCGATTGGGAAACTGTTAAGATTCTTATGTTTGCTCATCGACTGATTATCAAATGTTCTGCAAATAAATAACCATTGCTTCCCTAATAATTGACGAAGTAATGGTTAGGTAGTGATGAGTTCCGGCATGCTTGTGAAGCTCTCATAAATATATGTCCTAACTGCCGTGTCGCATGTTTGCTCGAGATGCGTGCTCGCCCTCTCATTGTAAGTAGCGCGTCTATCACTGACTAACAAGGACTAACTATAGAAACACACATAGAATTTCGTAACTGCAACCATGGATCAGAGTGACACTGTGATAATATTTAAAAAAAACGTTATATAAAATATATAAAAAAATATTATATATAAAAAAAAATTCCCTTTTTTTATATAAATATATATTATTATAAAAATGTTATAAAATTAATATTACTCGATATTTTTTTGCTAAAATTATCAATATAAAAAAAGAAGAATAAAGTTAATAAAAAAATATGATATCAATATAATAAAGAACATTTGAGATGATTAATCTTCCTTCGCAAATAATGTTCTTGTAATACAGGGAGATATAAACCGCCTGTAATCTATAGTTCTCGTGTCACAATCCCGTTAAACTTTGTTAGCGTAATAGTATACAATTTCGCAATTTCTATATATAGTAACACGCTAATAACACACCGAGTGTCTAAGATACACCACGTACGCGTTAATTAAAATCATGGGGAACCGGAATTTCAGTCACTTCCCTCACGGTGTTACTCTGAGCGACGTGTGTTGTTAATTAATCAGCTTGCAACTAATATCGTGGAAATATACTTACAAGTGGGCGAGGGGAGCATGCACTATCAGCGTGTATTGTACATGTATATATGTGTTGTAGCTTTAAGATCTATCCGCCGTTCGTATGCACATTTATTATAAATATATATATGTATATGTGTAATTTTTTTTCTTTTACACACCCGGTGCATCTTGCGGCGGTACATCTTATGCCTGTACATAAAACTATCACCGTCGTCGATACGATGTCATTAACGAATCACGAGGAATGTATGTTGAATAGATGTCATTCTTTTTGGAAAGCATTTGCATTTTGTCATTTTTTTTCTCTCTCTCTTTTTCTCTCTTTCTATCATCTGGATATCATCAATGTACGTCATTCGTACCTCTCTAAGAGTGTAAATATTGCACCAAGCCTCACAGTCTATTTTTGTTTATTATTTTTTTTTTCATGTATCTTCATATATGTGGCCATATAGTTTTAGAAAAAATGCACCCCGTGCGTGTGGCACTCCCCCCCACTAGTAATTCTCACATATCATACTTCCATGTACCTGGTGAGTACGTTTTTTTTTCTTAACTTTATAGATATTGCGCGCAAGTTTGATGTCGATCTCGATCGTAAACAAGAAACTTTTTTTTATATATATAATAACATACATAATAATTTATAAACTTATGTTCAATAAAATAATTTTATAAATTTTTAGAATTTAGTCCACTTAAAGTGTGTATGTCAGAGTCATTTAGACTACTTATGCAAAAGTCGATATCAAACTGGTGTGCTATATCATTTGCTCATTTGTACTTTTGTCTACCGCATGCTTGTGTTTGTGACGCTTTTGCAATGTGTTTGCTTTGCTTGGAGATTAATTGCTCACAATTTCGATAACGTATAATTCTGGCTTACGTTCAAGTTATAATTAACATTAAATTGAAATATTTATAAAGCTGATAAAAACGAAGGATTAATGATTGCATTAAAATTTATTTTTATGTATCATTACGTCTAATATGTAAAAAGTATAATTTTTTATATCCATTTACGTAACTCTCTTAATCGCAATATTACAAACAACAATTGCAATGCAATATAAGAAAAAAATCGTATATAATAAAATGTACTAATTGAAACATAAGCATGATTATAAAATTTAATAAGTTTCCGAAAGTATTTTATTCTCTCTTGCACTACTTAAGAAGAATTTTAAGAAACAATAATATCGAGATCTCTTCTATATCAATTATCTATCGAAAAATAAATATTCATAAGTAATAAAAGAGAACGCTTGTATCCTACAATTCGCGAGGAATATAATTATCTTCTCTTAATTGTTACAGAAAATACTTTGCTGGCGATACCTTCGGAATCGGTACCGCCGCAAACTATCGTTCAACCACCGCCTTACATTGCTCCGCCGAAACCCGATGATCGGCAAAAATTGCAAAAGAGGTATCAAGATATCTTGAAGGACTCGCAGCTGCCGAATCTGCGAACGTGTTCCGAAAATGAGAAACAAACGATCGCAGATCAGAAACAATCCTATACACAAGAGATGTACGAACCCCGTCAAAATGATCAGCTGCGCGACAATCGTGGGAACTTTTTCGATCAGCAGCGAATGTCAAAGAACTACGAGTACCAACAACAAGTCCGCAACTATCAGACAGTGCATATGCATAACGCGAGGAACCAACAGTTCTGTGCGCCGGTCAGAGATATTGATCAACAGCAGTTTTACACTCTGCCGACGAGAAGGCCTCAGCGAGAAATCGAACCACCTCGAAGTGTCACGCCGGATATCACCAGAGGTCTGGGACACGGTTCTCTCAGCAGCATGCACATGCTGGCGAAACAAGGTCAACAAAGGGTCACGACTGCGGAGAATGAGCAGAGTCGACGCAGCGTGGACGTGGGCAATAGAAACTTGGAGCAAGCGGAAACGAGAGACAGAGTCATGCAGAATCAATCGCAATCAATTGTGGATGTCAGAAATAGGTGAGATCCGGAGGAACAAGAAGAATCGAATTTTTCTTTTAATTCAGTTACATTCTTAAGTCAAATACAAGTTTGAATCTAATTAAAAGAGTTAATAATATTATTGCAATAAGATATAGATATAGATATAGATATCAATTGATAATAATGAAGCATATACACTACAATTTGTAAACTAGCTCTTTCATTTTTATATATTGTATAAAAGATTATGGGAAAATAGATTACATTTTAATCATTAAATCTATCGATGCTAAATGTAATCGACCTTGCTTTAAATGTTTCATTATTTTATACGCAGGTTCGCAATGCCTCTAAATTTAGCTGCATTTGGCTATCGATTCTTCGCATCTTCGCCCGCTAATGATCCTCGTACGAAGTCTTCTAACGCGGACATTCTACGGAATAATCCAATTTCGCCGATCGGCCATGGCTGTTACAATAACGGCTTCAAGTCGTCCACTCCCACCGACCATCACGGGCGATCGGCGCCAACCGTGGCGGAACGTCTAGCTTTAACTGCCACCGCTGGCAATAATTGCCCGTCGCCGATACCGATGAGTGGTTCCTCGGGTAGAAGCACTCCCGTCCAGACCTCTTCCGGCAGGACGACACCGACCAATTTGATCCTATCGCCTACGAAGAGCACTATGTCCAACGAAGAGTTATTCGCCGCGATTCACAAGTCGAAAAAGCGACTCAACATTAGGCTCAACGAGAACGAGAACGATAACGAAAGTCTGTCGCTTTGTGGATCGATGAACTCCCTAGTGCAAGCACCAGCTGGTACCAGGCACAGCTGGAGCCCAGAATCTCATCAGAAAACTACAGAGGTAATTGCACCGATATCAAGGAACATTAACTCGAAACGATCCTTAATTTCTAGTTTGAGAAGAAGTTGGCTAATTTAGCAAATATTTTCGAAGAATAAATGTTCCCAGCAAACATGATGACATCTAAAAATGTCTTAATGATGTATTAATGATGTATTATACATCATTAAAACGTTATTAAGATGTTCTTTCTTTCGATTAACGAAGTATCTTTGACTTTCTAAAAATCTTATGATTCCACTCGTCAATAACTCATTAATTTCGTCTGATGTTCGATTCCAGGTACCGGTTACTGTACAATCGCCTACGTCACGGATGGATTTCAAACGTTTGCTTCTTCAACAAAGCGTAAAGACGAGTCCCATGCGATTATCGGCGGCGGAGCAATTGAAATTGTCGCGTCAACAATTGTCATGTCAACAACAACAACAACAACAGCCATCTCCAAATACTCATCAGAGTCCTCTGGCCAAAGTTTTGAGTCCACGCTCGGTTTGGAGGTTTCAAACACCGAGAAGCGATGTCCTCTCGTCCACTATAATCGAGGACACCGCAGCGGAAGAGAAAGCTATGAAACCATCACCGGAAAACACATCTCCTATCTCAAGACTGAGCCGTAGAAGACAATTAGATCTCAGCAGCGACCTAGCGACTCATCTTCATATTGATCACGAGGACAAGATCGCAAATTTCAACGATAGGCTAACGACAAGTAAAACGTCTAACGAAGTCAATCTTGATCCAACAATCAAACTGCTGAATCAAAATAACAAACCTCAAGAACTAATCACAAATGATGAGCCTGCACGAACCGCGTCTCCCGCGAAAACTACAATAACCGGTCAAGATCCTTCGTCTCGAAACAATATTAATACGACGATACAATACTCGAAAACTTCGCTCGAGCCCAAAAGTCAGGATCCCATGAGTGCTCTCGAGTCGCGAAGGATCAGTAATCAATTGGCGAAAGCACAGTTCCTAGCTAGTACACCTATCAACACCAATCCGTCGCAGAATCTCTATTTTAGCAAGAGATTCAGAGCGCGATCAGAATCTCCGCAACACGCTGTGACGCAAAACGTTGCAACACGTAGCCCGAGTGCTCCTACTCTCGAAACCGCTTTATGATCCGAAAATACGTTAATAATGAAGACAGAGATTTTGCAAATATAGCTCTTCATTATTAATACATATTAATATATATAATCTGTATATTGGCTCTTCTTAATATTTTAATAAGTCAAATTTTAATAAATTAAATATTGCTATAATTGTATATAAAATACACATAAAATATTATTAATTAAAATATTATTAATTAAAAATTTAAATTTTGCTATAATATGACAATTATCTTATTCAACACATTAATGAAGAATTAATATTAAGGACAAATATTTTGAGTATCTATTTAAGAAAGTAGTAAATTTAAAATTGAAGTTTAAATCGAAATTTTAAATCGAATTTTTCTAATTATAACTCGCATTTATTAAGAGACAATAATAATAATTTATAATCATTATATATAGTAATAAAGCGGGAATTAGTATTACCCAATATTGCAAAAAACCTTATATAAAAATAGAACATTTAAAACGCGAACATTTAAATATCATAATTCTGTCAATCAAATATAAAATATGTCTTACTATATATGTAATGTTATATTGCATATTGTAAAACACATTTCTAAAACACATTTCATATACATAATTCAATCAAATCATAAGCAATATTCTTACCGCGAATATAATCTAGTGCCTATTTGATATAATCGTTTTATAAAAAATATATATATATATATATATATATATATATATATTTGCACTATAAAATGATACTCTAAATCTATTCTCGAATTGAAATGATACCGGAGATGTTTTAATACATCGGCATATTTATCTTCGATATCTCCAATATTTTCTCATTCTTTATACTAAGTAAGCTTTCTTCGACTTTCTAATGAAGAAAGTAGTTTGATCTTTGCACGATCTCAACGATCAGAGACTTTTTAAGTGTAGAGAGAATTAAATGAATATATATAATCTCATCTCAATATATATTCTTAAATACAAGAAACAAATATATTATATACTCTGCGCTAATGATGCACAAGGTCTCGCGGAATTTTATCTGCGATACAAAGAAACGTGACAAACTTTTTTTGCAACTCTTTATAAGAAACTTATATATATAAAACCTATCGTTACCTTTATTCTATCAAATTAAAATATTATATACAGTATTTTAACTATGTTTTTGGGCTAATTAATATTATTATATTAACATATAATATATTTAATTTTAATAATATAATTATTATATTAATATATAATATTAATTTATTTACGCGGGAATTAAGACAAATGTTAATGGCCAGGAGCCGTGGAAATTTAACTCAGTGAACATTATAATCTGTTTACTATAGGAATATAAGTATGGAAGTATGAAATGATTATATGTATTAAAATTTTGACAAAATTTGCTCGAAATAATTGTACTGCCAATATATTTTTAAACTTAGATAAGTAAAAAAAATCAAATCACTCTGTCCCAGTTATGAATTAATTTTTTTTACTAATTTTATTTTACAATTTTTTTATTTTGCTAGAAGCAATAGAAATAAACTAAATATTGCAAAAATATGCGATTTATATTACAATTCATTTGATCATGCTCACTTTGTGGACCGACAGTCTTTTAACTTAATTATTATATATACTATGCTAAATGATTATATTTAAAGTATTAATTTATTTGCCGACTTTGATGATGATAACCTAACTCCGATAACCGCCCAATGATTCGACGATATTTATACATAACGAGCAATGTAATCGGGTTTTAAGTCTCGATCGCTTACTAGTCTAGTCGGGGTAGAATTTAGTATATATATTTCGCGTTTTCAGGAGGAAAAGTGCCGTTAATCGCGTGAGACGAACATATGTTATAATGCATCAAAATAATTAAACGTGTGATGAATATATATGTATACACACACACACACACACACACACACACACATATATACATACATGTACACGAGAAAAATTGATAATGTAACAACAGTTGCCTTAATTAAATTATTTCAAGTTATGTCGAGCGAGAGTATCGACAACGCATTTATCGATGATTTGCGAACGCGCAAAACACAGAAATAACTTTGCAAATGTAACTTGCTAGATTTTAAGCTAGAAAAGTGTTTTTGTACTTTGCTCAGAATAAATGGAAATATTTCGTGAACACAATTTGAGTTTATTCCTTTTTCTAATTATATGTTTTTCGTGTATATATCTTCTCTATAAGCACACAATATTCCTAGGATATTGTATAAATATTATTAACTGTTAATAATATTTATATAATATTTTAGGAATATTGTGTCTTATAGGGTTGTTTAATTAATTATATATTATTGTTATTAATTATTTATATTAAACCAAAATGTGGACACAACAGAAAGTGTCTGACAAGTTTTTTTACTTATAATAAATTTTACTTATAAGTAAATTTTTAATTGTTACTTTAAACAATACACACACACACACACACACACACACACACACACACACACACACATATATATATATAAATGTATCAGAGAAAAAAATTTACTTTTGAATTTTACAAACATTTAGCAACGTTAATAGAACATTCAAAAATGCAAGATAGATAGTATATTTTCATATGAGTCAAATTTTTTTTCATCGAATAGATCCCAACATAGAAATATAGAATATATTTTACTTTTTGGAGAAAGAAATATGTATTCTCTGATCATATAAATCTTATAAATTTGAATAATATAAGAATATTAAGTATAATAAATAATATTCAGTACAAATTATACTTGCGTTGATTAGTATTCATCAACACCGAACTGTTAATCGCGAATACGTGTACAACACTTCCACACATTTTTTTCGCAAAGAACGATATACGAAATGCAATATTTCGCGCCTCGCGTTTCACACAATGCGATTATCTTTTTTTGCTGTTTAGTATCGCCATCTGCATTCGCGTTAAACGCCAGAATTACGTAGTCGAAATATTTCGATTGCCGGTAAAGTCATCATTTTGTGCATGTCGGTAAATTGTTAGAATCACGTCGCGCAAGCATGATTTTTTTATTTGTAGTATGATAAAATATGTAATTAAAAATTCATGTAAAAAACGTATTTTTAATCAAATTACATATACTTATTCCGTTACTCTAATACTTGTACGTTAACAGATTTAGGTTACACACATTGCATAAAGCTTCGATATTTTGCAATCTTACCTCGCCTCAATTTGGAGAAGCACGTGCATTCCTTTCGATAAATATATATGTATATACATAAATATATATGTATATGTATATACATAAATGTTTCGTGTCACGATAAATCTTGTAAAATCATTGATCTTAAATAGTATCTCGTCAGTGAAAAAAAATGCTTTCGAATATTACACTTTATGTAGCAAATTTTTTATATTGTTCTATTACAATTTTCATAACAGCAAAATATTTAATGCTTGATGCTTTATATGTATATATAATACAATGTGCTAAATTATAAAGTGTAACATAATTAAAAAGTATTACTATTATTAGTCGACTTAATTGCAAGCTATTCCTAATTACTACACATGTTTATCCAATGCATCTTCTTCTTCAAATCTTTACAATGTTGTGATCTGTCGCATTCCCAAGACCATAGGGACTCGTGCTTCTTTCTTCTTATGGTTTTATCATTTTTTTACTCTCTTCCATCTTATTCAAAATATATAATAATTATTAACTAAGTATTATAATATAATATATTATAATATAATTATTATATTAATAATTAATAATTATTAATATAATAATTATATTATAATATATTAATAATTAATAATTATTAATATAATAATTATAATTACGAGGTATCTCTCTTAGTCTGACTCTTTCTCTTTGACCTATCCGGCATGGGTGACCCTACCAGTAATTAAGGCCGCTGTTCAATGAATCTTGTATTTAAAATTGTTTTAAGTAAAAATTAGAAAATGTTTATTATTTCATTGAGACTGAACAGAATTTTAAGATGCGCTCTAAGATTATATTTAAGATGATTAAATATAAAAACAGAATGAATATCAGCCTATGTTACCGCCGGCATAGCTCTCCGGATCATTAGAGTACTCAAACCTCCTCACCCGGCAAATGCCTTCGTTAAGGTGGAGATATCATCGAGGAGGTACAAATTTTTATTATAATTATTTTATTTAAATATAATAAATATAATATTATTTCATAAAATAAAGGGAAATATACAATATATAATATACAATAATAATATTGAACTGTAGAAAGTAACATATTTTATAAAATATAATATACTTATATAATATAATTACATATAATTATAATATATTAATATAATTATAATATATTAATTATAATATTTATAAATTAATACAAAATATCTTATTTTATAAAATTATTTTATAAAATTGTTATATAAATTATTACATTACAAAATTATTTTACTTATAAAGTATTGAAAATATATACAATATACACTATTGTATGTATTTAATACAATTAATATATAATTCATATTCAATTTAGAATATACAATAATTGAACTATAAAATATAACATAAATAGTTTATAAAATATTATTACAATATATAATAATATTTACAACATATACAATATATTTATGATAAGAATTTATAATATTTATATAATATAATTACAATATATAATTTATAAATATAATTATAATATTTATAAATTAGTACAAAATATCTTATGATACAAAATTACACGAAAATATCTGAAATGCACACAACATTCATTCAAAATTAAATCAAATGATTTTCAAACAGACGATTCAAATTATTCGTGATACTTATTAATTATCGACTTTTTATTACAAAACTTATTAAGGATTGCGTAATATGAATAAGTTGCGATGAAAAAATCGCCAATACATTTACATTATCTATTATATTTCTTCATTAATTATTATATCTTATCATCAATTATATCTTTTAATTACAAAAAGAAAAGTATTTATATTGATACGTTTTAATTTTTTAAGAAAGTTTGACACGTGAAAAAATAAGCGAAATTTTGTATAAGCCAATGATCAAGTAAAAAAATAATAATAGCAATTAAATATAAGATGAAAATATCTCGCGGATAATCTGATGATAACAATTCGAAAAATTAAAATAATTTTGCCCGATTGT